AAACGTCCGATTCGGAAGTCTAGGAAATTTATTGTTAGAAAAGAGAAAAAAGAAAAAAAAAAAAGAAAAAGAAACGAGATTCGTCGGAGCGTTAAACCCTTCGTTTCGATTTCAACGAAACGACGACTTGACAACCTGTCGAACGGCCAAACGATGGAATAATCGAAACGTATCGTCTTTTATTCCGTTGTCTTCGTTTATCTTTTGGCAGAACGTTTCGTCCCGTGGGAAGGAAAGCTCGGAAACGGACTGTACTGATGGTTGCTCTAAAGATATCGCTGCGTCCACGCGGCCAGGAATAGAACCGTGACGTCGTTGTTCGTCGACGAGCGAACACTAACTCTTCGGTTCGTCGTACACCGACAGCTAGCCAATGGGATACGCTTCGAGGTCGACGATGAACACGATCCTACGAATGCCACCCCGTGATTCTGCTTTCGTCCCAGACACTTCCTCCTTTCCCTCTGATTATACAATGATTCGACGTTTCGCGAGATCCCCGGTCGTCCGTTATTTCATCCGTTTTAATCCTATGATCGTAGAATTTAAAATTAGACGGGAAATATTATTATAATGGATCTGTAATGGATCTCTATCCAAAGGATATAGATATTTCATAGAACAAAAGATCGTTTTACGAGTTCCAGCTTCCTTTGCGAATTTGTTGGATTCACAGCTGTTATTCATGTAGGCTGATGTTACATGAATTTGAAATATTGTGACATATATTTTGCCTGCTTTTTTTTTTTCTCCTTTTGGAGATCAAATTGTACTTGTTTAATCCCTGACTGATTAGAGTTAATTTCACAAATTCACTAATCTCTATCACGGGCGGGTGAAGACTATAAAACGAAATAAAGTTTAATATCTATCTTAATCGTAAGATCTGAATTGCAGTTGGTTATAAAAAATATAGATACGAAATACCATGCCATTACGCGGGCAAGAATTTTACCGAGAGTCTTTTTTAAACCGAAATGGCGATCAAGTCTGTGAACCGGGTGACAATAATTTACCGTCGAAGTTCAAAAAGACGAGCCGCGGCCAGGAAGGGTGAAAAAATAATAGGGGGATGACACCGGCGCGTACATAGCCGATAAAAATCGTTGACAAGAGCCCGGACCGTAAATTTCTTCTGGGGAAAGAATTATTGCTGCCGGATAAATACGGGGCGAACAGAGCCAAAGATCTGACCAAAAGCGCACGTGTAGACCGCGAAGAAACGTGGAGAAACGTGGCGTTACTGACATTAAGTTACTCGCGTTTCTATGTCTTCGTTTTGCGAAATCCTGCGTTCCCGAGTGTTACTGTGTGACTCAAGCACAGGGGGAAAAAAGAGCCGGGATGGACCCAGCGTGGAGAACGTCATCCGACTCGAAAGAACTCGCTGACAAAGAAACCGCTGCAGCTTGCTGCAAATCAATCCTTGTATTATTTTCTAAGCGGCTTTTCGTGTCTTTCTTCTTCGAATTCCTCGACTACGGTTCTTCAATTTACGTTCACACAATTTCTACAAGCTAGACTGCAGATTTCCATCTGTTTATCTAAAGAAACACTCAGATATAAAGTACTCAAGTACATGTTCTAAAGTACCAGGAGAATATTCAAAAAGATATGAAGACATTTCCACGGTCTAGTAAAGATTTTTTTTCATAAATTAATTTCCGTACAGATATTTTTAGGTTAGCAAGTATTTGTTCGACGAGATGTAGAAGAGAACCCTTCCCTGAAGGGTTAGTTCGCTTACGTAACTCTGGTGTCTATATCGAGAGCGAAAGGGGTGATTCAGAGCGGATCGACGGGAGGTCGCAGTACGTTAGAAGGACCGTATTCCAAGTATGAGGGGCGTCGTTAATCAGATGTGACGCATCTTCCAGAAATCCGTGCAATTGGAAAACTAAAATCGTGTAGGGACAAGACGGATAATGGTCTGGCCGACTGTCGCCTACTCATCTCTCTGGAGCAGGAAGCAGACCAACTCCGTCAAAATAGATTCGAACCCATTAGCATTCATTAGTGCAAAACTCCTGTCCTCCTCCGAATCTTCCCATCCAATATCACAAATTCTAAAAGACGATATTACCTCTTGCACATCGTCAGCCTGTGGTCTAACGTCGGTCTAATTTTAACCTGTTAATTAATTGAGAGCCGTGAAATGTTTGAAACTCTTCTCCCTCCGTTCTCAACATTCAAAATCTGACAAATGGCATGCGCGATCTTCTCGAAGAATTAATTTACTGTTTTTTTCTTCAGGCTCACATTTACAAGCTCACCTTCCCTCCGGCTATATCTCACCGACAAGCTCATATTAATTTGTGAATTTGCTGACAACGTCTTTTCCCTTGTCGTTTCATCTTCGATCGAAGATCTCTGGCGTACGTGCCGCGGCCAGAGACGAATTACGGCCGGTTAAATTAAAAATCATTCGCGTTTTACGCGGCGAACAGTCGTGTCTCATTAAATTTATACCGGCGTTCGCATTCCTGCACGGCGACGTTAGCGGCCAATTAAACGTTTGATATAGGGTGGTCCTCCGTGTTTTCACTTTCGACCGGCATGGCATCGTGTCACCGCGCGACATACCCGCCATTGGCAAAAATAATCCTCGTTCGAAGGGGATCCACCGGAGAAGGGAATTCGCGACGGAGGTTCGCGGAACCAGACGCGATTCCTCAGTCGTACAAAGCGTCCGAGAAATTACGGCCAGAGTGGTAAGCCTACGCGCCAAGGCCGCCCTTTTTCTTCGCGCCACCTTAACAACGCCGTCACGTGTCCTTCTTCTTTGATAGTTTTATCACTGGACGGAGCATTCGAGCAGTTTATTCTTCCTCTTGCTTGTCCCTCTAATTTGTTTTCGCTGCGTTTAGCGGGTAAATCTCGGTGATTAGTCAGG